TTGTATTTTTAGTAGAGACGGGGTTTCACCATGTTGACCAGGATGGTCTCGATCTCTTGACCTTGTGATCCACCCGCCTCGGCCTCCCAAAGTGCTGGGATTACAGACGTGAGCCACTGCACCCAGCTGTTGTTTTGTTTTGTTTTGTTTTGTTTTGAGACAGGGTCTTGCTCTGTCACCCAGGCTGGAGTGCAGTGGCATGATCTCGGCTCATTACAACCTCTGCCTCCCAGGTTCAAGTGATTCTCCTGCCTCAGCCTCCCAAGTAGCTGGGATTACAGGCATGCACCACCATGCCCAGCTAAGTTTCATATTTTTAATAGAGATGGGGTTTCACCATGTTGGCCAGCCTGGTTTCAAACCCCTGACCTCAAATGATCCACCTGCCTTGGCCTCCCGAAGTGCTGGGATTGCAGGCATGAGCCACCATGCCTGGCCTCAAATATTTTTCTTTTAAAGGAATGAAAACTAAAGTCCAGATACCTTCACAGAGTTCCTTTGAATGTGTATTTCTGAACATTTTCAGAATCAGGTCATCCACATGGTTTCCACCTACAAAGGCACCTCCCACTCTACAGGGTCTCCTGTATCACACTTTAAAAATGTAGGATTTTGTGGTTCATTGTGCCTTACAAATGATTGCTGGGAGTAGGGAGAAATAAGAGGAACCAGAGAGATCATTTTGAGGAAAAAAGCAGAGCCTGTCAAGTGTTTGGGGCTAGAAGGCTGGGAAACATCATGAACAATCCATTTTTCATTTCAATCATTTTAAATTGTAATTAATCTTTGCAATGGATTTTGGCACATGTCCTAATTTAGTCATCATGGTGGATTAAATCACCAGATCAACCACTTTCTGATCTGATGATTTTTCATTATACAAATATATCTTCTGTGAGCAAAAAAAAAAAAAAAAAATTGATAGCTATGTGACATTAAACCAAAAATGTATGCAAGTTTTAAAATTGGAAGAAGGAAAGCTGACATTCTTCTTAGTGACATTCACTTAGATTTCCTGATTGGGAAAAAAAAAAAAGAAAACACTATCCAACAGAAATAGGTTTCATTATCTTGCTCTCTTAGGCAGGGTTTTTTGCAGAGACCAAAAGGCAGCAGCAAACTCCTAGGAAAAGGACCTTTCCTTCCCTGCAGAACCCCAGTTCTCAAAAAATTATTAAAATTTTCCCCTGATAGCCAGGTGACATAGGTACTCTGGGTCTTTGAAAGCTATTTTTGAGTCATGTGCCCATTTCCTACCAACATATTACTCTGAGCTCCATGGGTACCTGCTATTGAAGTCTTGCTACTGCTTTGAAAACAGCTTCACAGCACTGACCAGTGAGGGAGGGAAGCCGTTAGGAGGACACACACCTGATACAACATGTCATTTTAGTTAACAGCCAAAAACGCTAACCGATTTCGCCACAGAGACCGTGACTAACATGTCATTTTAAGATGCTGAGGGATCCTAATCTCTTCAGCCCCTACAGGGTGGTTTTCAACTACCAACCTGACCACTCCCTTGTGAACAATAAATACTGTGAAGACACCGTCTTAACATCTTTTCTCTGCTCTCTCTTCAGCTTTCTTTTTCGACAGCCCACAGCCCACCCCAAGGATTAGAAACAGGTGTCTACCTTGTTCTCCAGCGAGTTGAACACGTTCCTCATCTCGTTGATTTTCTCATGAAGGTGCTCTAGAGAGGTTATGATCCCTCCATCCTGCCGCTGGAGGCGGGCTCCCACTGGAGGTAGGTTCAGGGAAGACTTGTACTTCGAAGCCTACGGTACCACAGAGGGCATCTTAGGCTCAAATAAATAAGGGAGAGGAGTCCGAATTCTTCCTATTTCCTGCTCTTAATTTCTGAGTCTCAATTTTCTTTCTTTTCTTGGCTTCTTAACTCTTCTTAAGATGAATTTTAGTCAGTGTCTTCCAATTTTGTTTTTCATGAAAGATCTCTCAGGCCTCAAACTTAATTTTCACAAATTTCAACTTGTGTTTTACAGACATTTCTTCCTTTTTGCCACATTACCCAGGTCAGGAGGCTACCAAGAGGTAAATTAGGGGAACTGGACCTGTGCTTTGGGAACCTTGCAAAGTCATAAATGTCGATGTTTGGGAAACCTCCCAATTCTTACAATTCTATAAGAGCAAAAGCCAGGTGTTCCGCAGTGGCACATACATGATGGCAAGGAGGCCAAGGTAATTGCTTTGGTTTCCCCCTAAACCAGGGTCACTGCAGAAGCAATATGAGTTTTCTGCCAACTTCCATCTTCCAATTGTAGGGCTCTGTATTGATCCCCAGAAGTGCAATGATTTAAAATACAAAGTGAGCAGCAAGTAATTTGAATGTCGAGAGTAAACTTCCCAAATCTACTCCTTTACATTCCCTTAAAGTCATTCTTGCAGGGCCTTATTGAGACTGACATGAAGCCTGGTGTGCTGGAAATTTCTCTTATTGATCCCTGGATACATTACAGGCCTAGAAGAGTTAACTTCTCTGGTATCAGAAGAACATTCCTCAATGGCAAAAAGAGACTGAGACTCAATCAGGATTTACAAATCCTAGAAAACTTTCAATGACAGTTTTGATGATGAAACCTATTACTGTAGGACTGGTTCCCATAGTGTTTCAATTAGAGGTCCTTTTAGCACATCACTTCTTTTAAAAATTATTTTCATTACAGAGAAAAATAAACAAGAAAAAAGGGAATTGCCAAATAGAATCATCCCAAATTTCATTATTTCAGTGTTACCATTAACCCTCACATTTCCTTCTATTTTGTTCTATGCATATAAATGCAGATATCTATATAGTTGAAATCACACTGCAGATACATTTGATTCTACCTCTCTTTTTTTTCCTCCTAATATTCCAATAAGGCATTTACAATAGCCTTCAAAATTTTTCTGAATGTCTACTTTTGATGGCTACATAATATTCCATCCTGTGAATTTGCCATACTTTACCTACCCATTCACTTTTGTTGGAAATGTATGTTGCTTGTAATTTTTCAATGTTATAACTAATGCTGCAAATTATGTTTTTGTTTTAAAGTTTTGTATATATTTCTAATTATTTCCTTAGAATAAATTCCTAAATATGAACTTCCTGTGGGTCGAAGATGTTAGTAGTATTTGACCCAAAGGGAAAGCTACTATATCACAGGGAGGCAATCTGTTCAACTAATTAATAACTATACAAGTTATATTTGACCAGAGGATTTGAAAAGTTATGGTAATATGTCTGTATATTCTTGGAAATGTTATATATGATAGGTAATGTCCTAAATTAGTGGATTTGGAAAAACAAATCTTGAATAATAAAATACATGAAACAATAGAAATAGAAGAAGCCACAGTGTTTACATTCCTAAGGCTACAAGTGAGCTTAAAACACAGTTGGAGCTGGGCGCGGTGGCTCACGCCTGTAATCCTAGCACTTTGGGAGGCTGAGGTGGGTGGATCACCTGAGGTCAGGAGTTCAAAACCAGCCTGGCTATCATGGTGAAACCCCATATCAAAAAAAAAAAAGAAAGAAAAAAAAACACAGTTGGAGTTCAAATCATTAGTGTGAATGTTGGGCTAGCACTAAATTGTGCAGTTACTACGTCTGTTGCCTTAATTATGGGACCCCTTCTTATGTTAATGGGATCATAATTTTTATAATCCATATGCAAAATGAAGTAATAAAGGGTAAAATGATGCCACCTGACTCTGGAAAAGAGATCTGATTCAACAACTCTGAGAGGGGTGGGTATGTGCAGTGAACAAAGGATAAGATGAAAAGGAAAAGGGAATAGACTTTTCTAAAAGTTTCTAACAATTACACACACTTACCAGAACGAAATATTATTAATTATTATTTGCTAATTAGTCAAAATATAATACTCCTTATTTTAATCATTGCTTCTTTGAGCTTCAACTTTTTCTTAGCCATCTATAACTTTACTTTGGTAAACTGTCTGTGTTCCTTGCTCATTTTCTACTGGAGTTTTGGAAGTTTCCATTTTTATTGGCCTTCACGAACTACTAATTTATGATTAAACTTTTGAAATATTAATGTGTCTGTTCTCACTCATAGGCAGGTGTTGAACAATGAGAACACATGGACACAGGGAGGGAAGCATCACACACTGGGGTCTGTTGGGGAGGTTAGGGGAGGGACAGTGGAGGGTGGGGAGGTTGGGAAGGGATAACATGGGGAGAAATGCCAAATTTAGATAACAGAGGGATAGAGGCAGCAAACCATATTGCCATGTATATACCTATGCAACAATCCTGCATTATCTGCACATGTACCCCGGAACCTAAAGTACAATTTAAACAAAAAAGAAATACTGTTGTGTCTTCCTAATTTTGTTATTTGCCTCTAAATTTGTTTAGAATATTTTTATGATGGAAATAGTTTAAATTATAATGTGGATGAACTCTCAAATCTCTTTCTTTGTGATTTCTTCCAGTGCTTTTTAACTTAGAAAGACATCTCACATTTGGAGACAAATGAAATTATTTTAAAATTTTATGGTTTGAATTTTTAATATTTAAACCTTTAATCCACTTTGGCGTTTGTTTTAATTAGAGTATGAAGTGAGGATCTCTTCTTTTCTTCCAAAAGACCCAGGCAAAATCTTCCCAACACTGGCACAAGACTAAATGAGTGCATCAGACCTCTTGGCTCAGAGAAATACAGACATCTTGTAATATAGTCATCCATTCATTCATTCAGTTCATATTTATTGAATATGTATTATATGCCAGGCATTGTACTTTACACTGAGAATTCAACAGAGAGCAAAATGGACTAAATTCCTGCCCTTAGAGCTTACATTCTATATGAGGAGACAGAAAAAAAAAAAACCAAATCAGGTAATATATACGATAATGTCAGGTAGGTATGGGATCTATCCAGAAAATAAAGTGAGATAGAGAATGACCAAAATTTCATATTTTACTTCAGGTGCCTTCCCTTCTACTATAGATTTTATTCTGTTATGGTTAACTCCTCCCCAGTTCCCTCCTTCCTCTTTCTCTTCTTCTTTCTTTACTTCTCCTTTTTCTTCTTCTTCTTTTGGTTAAATGTTGCTTGGAGTAAGCAGACTGGGGCTTAGGAAGTGTTCTTTTAAAACAAGGATGGGGTTATGATAGCATCACAGAGGTCATAGAGACCAACTTCACTTCCATTGCTTTGTGTGATCCACTGTGAACAGACGTACTAGGATTTGTAACACAATAAGATAATGAGGCCACCTCACTGCAGTTATATTTAGCCAACATTCAGGGAGTGAACTACATAAAATCTATAATAGACTTTAAATCATACCTGACTTTAAAGAGGTACTCACACTCATTCAAATGTCATACACAGGTCAGATGAGAACAGAGGGGAAGTGGGCAAGGAAAGCATCTGGAGGACTTGGACCAGTGAGGCATAAAATCAGCGCTGAGTGAAAACCCATTTTTGCTTCTAGGCCTTTGTTCAAGCTAGTCCCCTGTCCCAAACAACCTTACCTATACCTACTTGTCAAATGATCTGCTTGTCCTTAAGTACCTAGCTCAAATCTTCTAGTCAATACTAATTCATCCCTTCCCCGCAGAATTTTATTAATGCCTCTATTACAATCCTTTCAACAGCTTACCTTGTAAGAACAACTATTATTCTTTTTTTTTTTTTTTTTTTTGAGATGGAGTCTTGCACTGTTACCCAGGCTGGAGTGCAATGGCTTGATCTCGGCTCACTGCAACCTCCATCTCCTGCGTTCAAGTGATTCTCCTGCCTCAGCTGCCTGAGTAGCTGGGATTACAGGCATGCACCACCATGCCTGGCTAATTTTGTGTATCTTTAGCAGATACAGAGTTTAACCATGTTGGCCAGGCTGGTCTCAAACTCATGACCTTGTGATCCACCACCTCAGCCTCCCAAAGTGCTGGGATTACAGGTATGAGCCACTACGCCCAGCCAAGAGATATTATTCTATGTGTTCTTCAGGTTGTGGACACATAAAAATCAATGAGAATGTCTGTTTCATCTGTTTAATCTGCCACGAGGTCAAGCAGTAGACTTTGCACATAGTAACTGCTCAATAAATGTGCATTCTATTGAAATGAGGCTGTTTCCTCCATTCATCCTATAGCTGGTCTGAGATAGGGGCAATATGGTTAAGTAATGCTTTCATAATCCTATGTTGGCTTGCCCTAGTTTGGTCTATAGCAAAGATCTCTTACATGATAATTCTGGGAACTGGTTGTCATTTTCACTTTACTGTCATTTAAACTCAACAAATCTAAATAACATTTCCTCCAAACTATCTACTCTTCTGGACTCCTATATTTCTGCTTGAGAGAGCATTCTCTTTTCCTAGTTACCAGGGCTTAAAACCTTAGAGCCAACTTTGAAAGCATCCTTTCTCCCAACCTCCCACCAAGCTCTGTCAATGTTTTCTTCCTTTTTGGATATTCCAGACAGCACTGCCTAAAGTCTGGAGAGGAGCATGAGTTTCCCTTGCCCAAGTTGCATTTATATTACAAATTATGTCAGAATAAAGTTCCATGATTTTTAAGAACAGAAATGTACTTTAAATTTATGGTTGAGAGACAGAAGCCAAGTAAACACTACTTAGAGGACCAAAGCAATCTCATATGACTCTTACTGCAAAGGTGTTTTGCAGAACTTTTATCTTCCTGGTAAAGTAAATTGTTCCCATTGTTTAAAAAGAGCTTGAAAATTTTTCCTATGCATATATTTGAACATTTACAATGTTAACCCTTTTTCATTCTCAATTCTCCCTGCTGACATAGAAAGCAAGAAAACAGATCTTTCCCTCTCCTCTCTGATGGACACGTTACCTTGCAGTGTAACAGCCATGGCGATGGGGGCAGCAGGCAAGAGAAGCAGAGTGGAGGTAGGGGTGGTAGTGCTTCGTTTTATAAATGGGATAACTTGTCTTTCTTTTTTCTTTTTTTTTTTTTTTTGAGATGGAATCTTGCTTTGTTGCCCAGGCTGGAGTGCGGTGGTGCGATCTCAGCTCACTGCAACCTCCGCTTCCCAGGTTCACGTGGTTCTCCCGTCTCTGCCTCTTGAATAGCTGGATTACAGGTGTGCGCCACCATGCCCAGCTAATTTTTGTATTTTTAGTAAAGATGGGGTTTCATCATGTTGGTCAGGCTGATCTCAAACTCCTGACCTCATGATCTGCCCACCTTGGCCTCCCAAAGTGCTGGTATTACAGGCGTGAGCCACTGCACCCAGCAAACAACTTGTCTTGCAATAATGAGTTCTCAGCCTACCACAGTGGTGCTCCCCTATAGTCTCAGCTACTCAGGAAGCTGAGCTTGAGCCCAGGAGTTAAAGACCAACCTGGGCAACACAGAAAGACCCCGTCTCAAAAAAAAAAAAAAAAATCAGTTCTTTCCAAAGTACACTGTGAGTAGCGGAACCCACTGCACTGCCTGTCTCACAGGCCTGCTAAAAGAACAAGTGCAACAATATATATGGAAGCACTTGTAAGTGCTAAAAACATCTACGCATGAAGGATAGTCAGTCATCACTATTATACATGGAAGCATTCCAAACAATCGATTTGTCTTTACCTGGTAAATCTGCGTGGAAGGATTATTCACCGGCATATGTTCATTCTCTCCTGCAGAGAGAAAGAGCTTTGTTCAATCAACACTACTCATTCTGTCCCTATCCCCTTCAGATATATACAGGAAATAAGGGAATGTATACGATCCTGCATTTGTGCCTGCATAACAAGAAACCAATGATTCAAGAGAAACAAAAAATGAGCTGATATATGTGGTATCCATATTCACACATCCTAATCACTAAACCAGTATCTACCTGATAGACTCTTGCAATAGAAAACCACATTCTACTACAGTAGGGAAGTTTCTCAAGCAAACTGAATGATGTGTGATTATTAAACACACAGAAAGGAATTCGCAGGAAATGTCTTTATTATGTTCTTGAGGCTGTCTGAAATTGACCTGCGGGGACAGTTCTATAGTCAGGAAGGCGACTCTTCACCAGGCACTTACTGCTCTTAGTGTGCCTGCATAAAATGTCCTCTACTTCTCCCACCTCTGATCTTTGCCAGACTTCTGAACTGTGTCCTACTGTCACAGCCAAGTTCAGCTAAGGGAATCTTGCTGTCCTCCTAGGCAAGACAGCTGACAGAATTGTCAACGGAAAGGTTCTGGGAAGGATACAGGCAGAAGAAAACAGTATTGTATAGTACTAGGCTTCAAGAAACACAGGGCACACACAGAGGAGGTAGTAGGTTGTAGAAAACCATTCACAGGCCTGGCACAGTGGCTCACGCCTGTAATTCCAGCACTTTGGGAAGCTGAGGCAGGTGGATCACCTGAGATCAGGAGTTGGAGACCAGCCTGGCCAACATGGTGAAACCCCATCTCTACTAAAAACACAAAAATTATCCGGGCATGGCGGTGGGCGCCTATAATCTCAGCTACTCGAAAGGCTGAGGCAGGAGAATTGCTTGAACATGGGAGGTGGAAGTTGCAGTGAGCCGAGATTGAGATCATGCCATTGCATTCCACCCTGGGCAACAAGAGTGAAACTCTGTCTCAAACAAGAGGGGAGGGGAGGGGAGTCGAGGGGAGGAGAAGGGAGGGGAGGTGAAGGGAAGAGAGGGGAGGGGAGGGGAAGGGAGGGGAGGGGAGGGGACTGGAGAGACCATTCACAACCTAGGGAGAAAAAGAGGTTAGCCTAGAATGTCTTTTTCAGAACTACATTGGTTGGCCATAAAGATGAGGCAATCCATGTAAAACATTCAGCTGGTTGCTTATCCATTTAGCTACTTCTCCAGTATGTCGCAATGCATACATTGTGTGCATCGAGCAGTTTATAGAGGAAACGCCTGGTTGCAAACATTTGGTTGTGTGGTTGTGTGTATTGTTCTCCTAAGGCAAGCTGGTACAGGAAACCCCTCCAGCCTCGGTATTTAAGTTCATAAATAATATACAGCCTTAGCCCGGAATTTATACACACAGAAGTCTGGCCCTACAAAATCCATTTGATTTGAGGTTACCGAAACTTCCTGCATAAGCTTGAGTAAAGATTATTTAGAGAATTTCATACTATGTCCCAACAGCCTGGTAAAATAGCAAGAATTAGGGCTTTGGAGGAAGGATCCAGATCCCAGACCTAACTTTGATACTTTGTAGTTGTCACCTGACTTCTCTATGACTGTTTCCTCTTCTGTAAATTGGAGATGATAAGAGAATCTACTTCTATACAGCTGTTTCTATATGGTAACGATTAAAAGAGAAAGCACTTATGCTTCTAGGCTAGTTTAGAAGGTGATAGATGTCTAGTATTTGAATCTGTGTCTTGGCCTTACCCAGCTTGTTGTTCTGAGAGAGTCCTAAACTTATTGCTAAGAAAAATGAGATAACAATCCAGAACAAATTCTAATAGCATTTCCTATTTTTTCAGCACCTAGTCTATAGTCTTCATAGTCATTATATTATGATAGGGAAATGAAAATAGTTGACATATTGTCATGTTTTGAGATAGTGGTATACAAGACAAAAATCTACATTTCTTGAATTCTAAGCCCTAAAGCAAGACATAGGAAAAATCTGACCTTGCTTTGTTTTGGTTTTTTCCATAGTGCCGGTTACTTCTCTTCTCCCGCTTATTCTTCAACATTGCATCCTCATCGTCCTGGCTCAGGCCACCTCCTCTTCCCTGCACCTGTCAATTCAAATCAAGAGTAAGGGATAACAGGTAGAACTGTCAAAGAAACTGAACTTACTTCAGGTGTTAACTTTAAAAAGTTGAACACAGCCTGAGGTACATGCAATTTCAGAAGAGAAAAAAATATTAAGCTGAGTAAACATTTAACGTCAAGATAAATGTCATTTTGTGAATACATATAAAATCCATTATTCAAATTTAGAGTAGTTTTTCAATATGCTACATTCTTTTTTGGATCAAATCAATTAATTAAGACCTATTGGTTTTATTAGCAAGTCATAGTTTAAGGAAATTTTCTTTGCTTTTTTTTTCAAACAGGGTCTTGCTCTGTCACCCAGGATAGGGTGCAGTGATGCAATCATGGCTCACTGCAGCCTTGACCTCCTGGGTCAAGCCTCCCACCTCAGCCTCCCAAATAGCTGGAACCACAGGCACATGCCCCCACACTTGGATATATATATATATGTATATATATATACATATATATATATATATATGTATATATATATTTTGTAGAGATGGGGTCTCCCTATGTTGCCCAGGTTGGTCACAAACTCCCAGGCTCAAGTGATAATCTGATCTTAGCCTTCCAAAGTGCTGGGATTACAGGTGTGAGCCACCATACCCTGCCCCAAGGAAATTATCTTAAAGAGAAAAAACTTGAGCAGATATAAAGGCCAATACATCTGTTTCTATTCCATTAAATAGTACATTTCTTGATAGCCTTGTCCCCACTTTCGGCACCTGGTAGACTCCTTTGCATCCATGAAATGCTAATCAAATATGCTGTGTCTGTCGTAACCATTAGACATGAAGCTGCGAGGTCGGAATGCAATCCAACACACACTCAATGTTGAGGATACTGGCCCTCTTTTCAGCCATCCAGCATTTTAACCCTTTCCTAAGTTTGAAGAATTCCCCTGCCTTGTGAGGCTTGATCAGATGCCTCCCATTATAGAGGCTGAAAGCGCCAGGTTCTTCTAGCCTCCCTTGCAGCTAAGGCATGATAGACACATGACCTAGGACATACTACTCAGAGGCACCTGCCCCAATTAACACTGGCAGTTGCAAAAATAATTCCTAAGGCAGATACTTGATATTCTTTCTACCTTCTAAGACAGCAGTGGCAGTGAGGGTAGTGGTGGTGACCATTTTCTGTTACAAACATATTAGGAAATTCAAGGTGCTGTTTTCAGTGCTTTCCTCACTAGAACAGTTGTACTATATAATTTAGGCATTGCTGCTAGCCATAGAATCCCAAACTCGGTTCTCCAGCTTCCCAGCAATTACATGAGCTGTCCATCTCCTTTCAACAAATTCCTCTGCTGTTTAAATCAGGCAGACTTTGTTTTCTGTTGCTTATAACTAAGAAACCTGATTGAAACAACACAAACATCTGAACACTATCCAAGATTAAGAAAACACAACTTTAAACTTTGTTCATCACTCCAGAGTAGACAAATCTAATCTACACTGACAAAATGCAGCTCAACGGTTGCCTGGAGCAGGAGGTGGAGGGATAACTGGGAAGAGGCATAGGGATTTTTCTTTTTCTTTTTTTTTTTTTTTTTTTTTGAGACAAGGTCTCACTCTACTGCCCAGGCTGCAGTGCAGCGGCTTATGATGGCTCACTATAGCCTTGAACTCCTGGGCTCAAGTGATCCTCCCACCTCAGCCTCCTAAGTAGCTAGGACTACAGGTGGATACCACTATGCCTCGCAGATTTTTTTATTTTCGTAGAGTCAGGGGACTCACTATGTTACCGAGGCTGGTCTTGAACTCCGGGGCTCAAGCGAATCCCTTTCCTCGGTCTCCCAAAGTGCTGAGATTGTAGTCATAAACCACTATGCCTGGCTGCACAGGAAACTTTTTAGGATGATAGAAATGTTCTATTGCTTAATTGTGTTAGTGGTATATGGGTGCACTAATTTGTCAAAACTCATTGAATGTATATTTTAATTGGGTACGTTTTATCTTACATAAATTATACCTGAAGAGAGTTGATTTAAGACTTTATTATGGGCCGGGTGTGGTGGCTCATGCCTGTAATCCCAGCACTGTGGGAGGCTGAGGTATACGGATAACTTGAGGTCAGGAGTTGGAAACCAGCCTGGCCAACATGGTGAAACCCCGTATCTACTACCAACACAAAAAATAGCTGGACATGGTGGCAGGTGCCTGTAATCCCAGCTACTAGAGAGGCTGAGGCAGGAGAATTGCTTGAACCTGGGAGGTGGAGGTTGCAGTGAGACAAGATCATACCACTGCACTCCAGCCTGGGCGACATAGCAAGACTGTGTCTCAAAAAAAAAGGCAGGGCACAGTGGCTTATGCCTGTAATCCCAGCACTTTGGGAGGCTGAGGTGGGCAGATCACCTGAGGTCACAAGTTCTAGACCAGCCTGATCAACATGGAGAAACCCCATCTATACTAAAAATACGAAATTAGCCAGGCGTGGTAGCACATGCCTGTAATCCCAGCTACTCAGGAGGCTGAGACAGGAGAATCGCTTGAACCCAGGAGGCAGAGGTTGCAGTGAGACAAGATGATGCCATTGTACTCCAGCCTGGGCAACAAGGACAAAATTCCATCTCAAGAAACAAACAAAAAATAACAACAACAAAAAAAACACTTTACTATAAAATATGGAATGTGTCCAAACCAAATAATAATAATAATAATAAGTTGCCAGGGTGGGAAGATACACACTGGTAAAAAGCTATTGGAAAACAGCTACATAGTTATAAATGAGGAATATAAAGAAAGGCCCAAAGTCAAGGCCATATGCTGTTTAAACTCTTGCACATCTTTCATGTAAGCATGAAAGTTATGCCAAGGTAGGGCATCTTTCATAACTATCTTGAATCTTTTTTCACAACCAATATAAACATTACTAAGATGAGGACTCTCTCCTCCTTAGCAATGGTTAATTTACTTGATATCTAATCCATTCTAGAATGAACATAATTAAATCACAGAATGTTACAGCCAGAGTCCTGAGAAAATGATTCTCTCCAACTTATTCATTTATAAAAGAAGCAAATGAGACCTGAGGAGGGGAAGAGAAGTGGCCTGCCCAAAGCCACACAGCTTTAAAAGTGGTCTTTAGAAGTGATTTCTGTTACTATTTCGGGGAAAAAAAATCTTTAAATATGCAAAGCCATGTCTTTATGGGATTTTTGTGGTTGATTTTTCCTGGAGATTTAGTCATTAATCTGTAACTAATTGAAAACAAAAAACAAAAATCCATATATCACAGGTAAAATGAAAACTTATACATTTTCTAAGCTAAAATATCCTCATACTCACGTATGTACACATGACCACTTATTTCAAGACATAATACTTTATTTTATTTTATTTTTTGTAGAAACGGAGTCTTGATCTGCCCAGGCTGGAGTGCAATGACATGATCATAGCTCAGTGTAACCTGGAACTCTTGGGCTTAAGGGACCCACCTGCTTCAGCCTCCTAAGTAGCTTGGATTACAGGCATATGCCACCATCCATGGCTAATTTTTTATTTTTTGTAGAGACAGCATCTCCCCATGTTGCCTAGGCTGTTCTTGACCTCTGGGCCTCAAGCAATTCTTCCACTTTGTCCTCCCAAAGTGTTGAGATTACAGGCGGAGCCACCATGAGACATAATAAACATGTGTGATGGATAGTAAGTTAGAAATTTTATTTAATAAATTACAAAAGCAACAAAACTACATTAGAGGCCAGGCATGGTGGCTCACGCTTATAATCCCAGCACTTTGGGAGGCTGAGGCGAGCAGATAGCTTGAAACGGGAGTTCAGCAACAGCCTGGCCAACATGTTGAAACCCTGCTCTACTAAAAATATAAAAATTAGTCAGGCATGGTAGTGCACACTTGTAATCTCAGCTACTCAGGAGAATCACTTGAACCCAGGAGGCGGAGATTGCAGTGAGCCGAGATCGCACCACTTCACTCCAGCCTGGGGAACAGAGTGAAACTCCATCTAAAAACAAAAACAAAAACAAAAACAAAAACAAAAACAAAAACACTACATTAGAGAAAATTTGGAAAGTATATAGGGAACAAAGCAACTGCAATGCTTCTACTTAAACAACTATCCTGATCACTTGTTTGTATTGACTGTTAATATTTTTTCTCTGGAATGTTTTACATAATTATTAATGAAGCCTACCTAAAATTTTATGCCTACCTTTCCTATCTATATTATAGCATAAACATTTTACTTTCTTTTAAAAATTGGATCATGGCTGAGTGCAGTGACTCATGCCTGTAATCCCAGCATTTTGGATGGCCAAGGATGGAGGATCACTTGAGGCCAGGAGTTCAAGATCAGCCTAGGCAACAAAGCAAGATCCCATCTCTGTAAAGGAAAAACTAAAATAAACATGGGATTATTATTGTACAGATAAAAAAAAGTGAAGAAAAACTTTTTAAAAATTAAAAAAATTGGACTATTATTTATGCTGTTTTTATTGTGGCTGTTTGAGCAGAGGGTATAAGTGTTTCTCCCCAATCCCAACTGATGTTAATAATCTCTGGTATTCTTTCATTCTTTTTTCCATCCTCATGTAATTGCATGCAGTCATATACAGAATATACATATATGGAGTCGGGTTGTCACTGCAGGTTTATATAGTATACTTCTCTGCATCTTACTCTCACTTAATACATTGTGGCCATCTCTCCAAGTTAATTGGTATAGATCTAAGAAATTACTTTTTTTTTTTTTTTTGGAGATGGAGTCTCACTGTCTTCCCAGGCTAGAGTGCAGTGGTAGGATCTTGGCTTACCACAACCTCTGTCTCCCGATTTCAAGCAATTCTCTTGCCTTAGCCTCCAGAGTAGCTGGGATTACAGGTGCATGCCACCATGCCTAGCTAATTTTTGTAATTTTAGTAGGGATGAGGTTTCACCATTTTGGCCAGGCTGGTCTCGAACTCCTGAGTTCAGGTGACCTGCTTGGTTCGGCCTCCCAAAATGCTGGAATTACAGGTGT